GTAGCTTTCACATGCACACAAGGCAACTGAAAAGACCACAGGTTGGCTCAGGTGCACTCAATCTTTAACACTTTAAAGAGGTCTTCTGCAGCAATGTGCCCAACGCAATATACCGTTTGATTTCTTGACTGCTGCTTTCACGGGAACTGACTGTATATTCAAGTGAAATGAAATCCTTGACAACTTCAATTTCTTCTTCAATTAATGTTAGCTAATTGTTGTTGTTGTTGTTGTTATGTGCCGTCAAGTCAGACCCGACTCATAGCAACCCCTTCTTGGGTTTCTGAGGCAGTATCACTACGGAAGTAGATTGCCCCATCTTCCTTCCGAGTGGCTGGTGGGTTTGAACTGCCAGCCTTCTGGTTAGCAGTCAAGTGCCTTAAGCACTACGCTACCAGAGCTAGCTAACAGACTTCTTTTTATATGAACAGATTTCTGGGATTCAAATGAAGTATTCCTGACTAATATGAATGCCTTATTCTAAATATACGAGTAACCTGGGTGTCAGTTATATTATCGACTCACCCAAAGGCCTCTGTAGAAAGGGAGGGAGACAGAGGGAGAAAGGGAGAGAGGGAAAGATGACAAAAGGAAAACAGACCATATAGGACAGGCTTACATACAAACTGAAAGTTGTTTCTAGCAGATAACTTATTTGTTGGAGCCAGACTGTCTGAGTTTGAATCCTGGCTCAATCACCTATAAATCTGGACTTTGGACAAGTTATTTAACCTCTTTGTGCTTCAGTTTTCTTATCTGTAATGAGGATGATAACAGCATCTACATACTACAGGGTCACTGTGAGCACTAACCGAGGTAAATGCTTAGACCAGAGCTTGGCAAGTGGAAGCAATCAATAAATATCAACTAGCTCTGGTAGCATAGCGGCTAAGGCACTTGACTGCTAACCAGAAGGCTGGCGGTTCAAACCCACCAGCCACTCCTCGGAAGGAAGATTGGGCAATCCTACTTCTGTAGTGACACTGCCTCGGAAACCCAAGGAGGGGCCGCTATGAGTCGGGGCCGACTCGACGGCAAACAACAACAACAACAACCATTAATGTTATTAAAAGAACAAAAGTTAAACTTCTACCTTTAAAATACTGAATTTATAATCATCTAACTCATTTTTCAGAAAGGAACACAGTATTGAAAAATGATAGATACATACAATGGATAGAATTCAGCCATAACAAGGAATGAAGTACTGACACTGTAACGTGGATGAACCTGGAAAACGCATGCGAGTGAAGAAGCCAGACAGAAAGACTAATCCTGTATGATTCCCTGTATATGAAATGTCCAGAATAGGCAAATCCATAGAGACAGAAAGTAGATGAGTGGTACCCAAGGGGCTGATTGCTCACAGGTGTGGAGTTTCTTTTTGGAGTGGTGGGAATGTACTGGAACAGTGTGAAAGCTACCCTAAATAGTCAATATACTAAACTGAACTGTATACTTCATATTACAGGACTTTATGTCATGTGAATATCTCAATTAAAAGAAAAAGAAATTGAGTTTATCTTCAAGAATCAGTCAGTATCCTCACTTGTGGAATGCCATTTTACCAAGGACCACTCAGGCCGAGGTGTAGGGAAACTGTCTAGTCCTGTTCAGAAGGCATGAGTCATGATGGCTAATCTCCAAGAAGCATAGTTCTTTTAGTACACAACCTAAAGCTGACTTGGAAATCTACAGAAAAATAAATGACAAAAGCTGAGATTTTTTAATGTGACTTTTAACACTATAAATGCATGCTTGTCTTGAATTTTTCCCGTTTTTTAAAATTTTATCATAGCAATATATATATATATTTTAAAATTACCATTTTAATCATTTTTAAGTATACAACTGAGTGATAGTAATTCATTTGCCATGTTGGGCAACCACCACCACTATCCATTTCCCCAAGACTTTCCTCCCTGCAGACAGAAACTCAGTGCCCCTTAAAGCAGTGACTCCCAGCCCACTTCCTCTCCTAGTCCCAGGTAACCAGTGATAAACATTGGTCTCAATGCATGTGACTATTCTAGACAACATAAATGTCAATCACATGTCAGCACAGATGAGAGCCACATTTCTCTTTAAAGCTCAAGAATGTTCCACTGTACAGATAAAGTACATTGTGTTTACCATCATCTGTTGATGGACACTTGGGTTGCTTCTGCATTTTGGTTACTGTGAGTAATGTGGAAGTGAACACTGCTGTACAAGTACCTGTTTAAGGCCTTCCTTTCAGGTCTCTTGGGTATATACCTAACAGTGAACAGCTGGGTCATATGGTAGTTGTACATTTAACTTTTTGGGGAAAAGGTTTTGATTTCCCCCAGTAATGCATGAAGGTTCAAATTTCTCCACATCCTCCTCAACAAGTGCTATTTTCCCTTTTTCTGACAATAGCCATCCTAGTAAGGAGCTCTGGTGGCACAGTGGTTAAAGGATTTGGCTCCTAACCAAAAGGTCAGCAGTTTGAATCCACCAGATGCTCTGAGGGAAAAAAAGATGAGGCAGTCTGCTTCCAAAGATTTACAGCCTTGGAAACCCTATGGGGCAGCTCGGCCCTGTCCTATAGGGGAGCTATGAGTCAGAACTGACTCGAATGTCTGCCTTCTTTTAGGGAGAGAGAATATATTTCATTTCATAGATTCTCTGTAACAAATGTTAGAATACTGGAGAGTCAGACTGCATTAGACCTAAGTAAAAAGGGACACAAAGCCTGATTCCTTCAATATTCAAGAATATGTAAAAGATACTAATACCACAGTGTATGTGTGGGACAAAGAACTAGGTTTGGTCTTTGGTCTCTGGTTTCTGAAAATAGCCAGAGCAATCAATGGGCTTCTGTTTTATGAAACACTGAGGAAACACTTAAACATATGCAAACGAGTTGGGTGCATCCAACTCATCTTGGCAACTGGACTCAGGAAGGGAGGGGGCACAACCACCCCCCAGCCCTACCCTCCAAGGCCTGATGTGTGTCAGTGTAGCATGTCCTATGGGCTTTGGGGTATAAAAATGTCTGAGCGAGGAACTTCAGGGTTCCCTCAGCTATGGTGCTAGTGAGCAGCACGTGTAACAGAAGCTCACCCCACCTAACTAAGCCTACCTGGCCTGGGGGAACCAGATGGTAGAACCCTTCTTGAGTTCAGACTCTAAGCAGAAGAACATGATATTCATGAAGGAGTCATGTGTAGCAATCTGTCCCCTAATTCCAAGGGTCTCCTGGTTATTTAGAAATCAGGGACAACCTGTGAGTCCCTTACAGTTTTGGCATGGTGTCCTACAGTATTATACATCTAGTATGAATTCTTGGAATTGAAACAACAGAGGAAACTAAAAAGTGTACACTCACTTCTCACCTATCAAAGTGAATAAAATCCACTGAATAGCAATCTTTATCAAAGAACAGGTCATTAAGCAAAAACTGGCATTATGCAAAAATGGAGGATGACATCTGTTCTGGTTATCTAGCACCACTCTAACAGGAATACCACAAGTAGGATGGCTTGAACAAACAGGAGTTTATTCTCTTACAGTTCAGGAGGCTAGAAATCCCGAGTTCAAAGTGCCAGGCTCTAGGGGCTGGGTGAAAGCCCCTCAGCCTTGGGCTTCAGCTCTACCTCTTGCTCCTGACCCACTGAAGCTAGAGGCTTTTCTTCACTCAGACAGCTGCTGGCTGCTGAGGCTGACAAGCCCAAGGTTCACAAGTAACAAGGCACAGTGCCCACTTTACCAAACCACACACCAGGCCATTCATTCAAGTCCATTGAAAGTCCCGAGTTCAGCAGAGCATGGCAGGCTGCTGAACAATGACATGGCTACGTGCAGGGTTCAAGCAAGCCAAGCTAGAGATCATTGCCAAAGCTGATTCTTATACATGGGAAGCAGACCATATCCCTAAAGCAGCTACTCAGCTGCTTGTGGTAGGTCCCACCATGACGCAGTCTCATCATGGGGACTAACTACCACTATCTGCCCAGCACTCAACCAGGCCCAGCCAAGTTGACATACAACCTTAACCACCACATCAGATCACAAAATGTACATCATTATACAACTGCCAAAACACATCATTACACAATGGCCAAATTACATCATTATATAATTGCCAATCCACTGAGAATCCTGGTCCAGCCAGGTTGATACATAACCTTAACCATCATAGTCAGTAATACTCTTGCCTCAAACCTCAGCGTTTGTTACTGCCAGATGTCCATCATTAATGTGCAAAATAGTCACAGAGTAGATTTTTCCCTATTGTCATAAATATGAAACGTCAGATAATGAGATAGTAAGTGAGGAATAGGTGTACACACTGAATCACAGAGACTGTGGATAGATGTATTCACCATCCTGCACCATAAATCAAAGATCTGTACCTTCTAAATTACCACCACCAGGGAGACTCAAGGTGTGTTCCTCAGAGAATGTCATCTCCATTTTCCCATCACATGAGTTGCCACTGAATTCTCACCCACAAAACTTATCTGTCTCCTAATCCTCTTCCTTGGAACCTGTCTATTCCCTAGTTAGTATTTCCTTCAGGAAGTTACTGAACACACATCAGGCTGTGTCCAATGAAAAACAATGTGCATATCACCCTGTAAAATATATTAAAATAATGTCTTATCACACTTCCAAGATCTGATGATGAAACAACGATTGATTATGAAGAAGTTCAGAATTATCTTTGAAAATAAAAGACAAAATCCACTGAATAGGAATTTACCTCTAAGTTATACACCAAAGACAAGCAGATACATTTACAGAGACAATCTTGGAAGCACAGTAGGCAAGAGAAATTTACTGAATCCCTGTTTGAACTATGAAGATCACATGCTGAGTTTATATGGCATATAGCTAAAAAGGTACCTGAGAAGCAAGGAAGACTACTAAATGTTGATTGAGGAGTTTTAACAGATTATAAACAATTAAGAAGACAAAAACAATAAAAACAAGCAGGAGAAAGGAAGGAGAACAAATATATTTTGTAAACCTACCGAAAATCAATATCCAGTAAAAGGCTTTTCATGGCAGACTTCTTGTTCCCTGAAGCTTTCAACCTGATCAGCTCATGCAGCCTGAAGGAATCAGCAAATTTAGTAAGAAATTACAAAGAGCAGACAATAAACAAACAGAAAAGATAATTTGTGTTCTGCACTTCTTACATTTAAATGAAATTCTGAAAAGAATTGCACATATAACCAAGGTTTCAGTTTAGCAAATATTTTTTAATAGGTAGAACTTACTTCAAAGGGAGAAGTCTAAAATTATAACCAATTTAAGAATCAAATCAGAAAGAATTTCCCATCACATACCAGAATCTAAATATTTCTCTGAAATGGAATTATGAGTTACAGAACCATGCTTTATACTCCCTTGTGCCTTAAAGCTTAATGTCATGCCCTGTATATACTAAATAACTACTTGATAAAATGTTGTTACAATGGAAAAAGAGGTGTACCTTATTGATATGTGCGTTTGGTTCCAGACTACTGCAGTAAAGTGAGTACTGCAATAAAGCGAGTCACACGAGTTTTTTGGTTTCCCAGTGCTATAAAAGGTCTGTTTTCACTACACTGTGGTCTGTTAAGTGTCCAACAACATCATGAAAAAGTATGAAACATTGTGAGAATTATCAAAATATGACACGGAGAGATGAAGTGAACACATGCTGTTGGAAAATGGTGCCAATAGACTTGCTTGACGCAAGGCTACCCACATTCAATTTATAAAAAAAAAAAAACACACCATTATCTGTAATGCACAATAAAGCAAAGCTCAACAAAAAACCAGGTATGCCTGCAGTGATGACAGGAGAATTCAAAAAGAAAAGATTATATAACATACCTCGGTGTTCCAACACACAGCACTCTTCCGAATCCAAGGGTAGAAAGTATGTCTACTAAGAACTGACAGCTCCTATCAGCAAACAAGTACTGGGCATTTGTCTTCTTATTTTCCAATGGGTAAAGGAGTTGACTGGGCCTTTTTAACTGGCCGACAGAAACATCACCCACGACCTGATGCTCACGATGCTCCCCCCAGTCGTCTGGTAACAGCAACTGCTGACATCTTTGACAAAACTTTCTCTGAGACAAGGGCAAGTCAATAAACTTCAAGTACCTTCAAGACACAAAAAAACACAAGGTAATATATTTTAGGTTTGTTACTTGAAAGACAATGTACTTTTGCTATTTTTAGTATTCCAAAAGCATTCTCTCCTAAAAAGAAGTGCAAAAAGGAGCAAAGATAAGGAAAATCTGTGGCATATTGGCTAGAATTTATGTCTGGCTGCATACTTCCAAATTGGGAGAGGATCAGCAATTTCATAAGACAGACATGCTCCAATTTAGTCCCGAATGAAATCAATACCCATTTAAAATGTGAACATAATGTATTACTCAAACAACTAAGTATTAAGGGTGACTGTGATCATGCTTAAATTTATTGACAAATCCATGTATTCTAACTTTGAAGTGCTAAACAGTCTGCCTCAGTGTGACAGTCATCTTAAAATGAGAAATTAAAATCATTCTTCAAGTTCTTATGGCACACTTATCAAGAAAAATTACCTCCTAAAAGAAAAGATGTTCCTACAAAGCTCCTCTGTTCTTAGCAGTACTGATGCAGGCAGTTTTCAGAAGCTCACCTCAAACCAGCAAGACAATATTCAAAGCCTTAAAAAGACTGGATATGTTGGGTATTCCCTTTGATCTCTTAAATCACTTTTATATCAGATTTCAAAGTCATCATTTTCTTTTTTATACTAAAGATGATGGAAGAGACAAAATAATCACGATCAGTGTGTTTTGAAAACTGCTGTTGTATATGCTGATATTGCTGTTGTTGTCAAGTGCTGTCAAGTTGGCTCTGACTCACAGCGACTCCATGTACTACGTAACAAAACATTGCCTAGTCCTGTGCCAGCTTCACAATCCTTGCTATACTGAGCCCATCGCTGACAATGTTTCAGGGCTATTCATAAAGTTTTCCAGTAATATATCAGACAGTGTTTCACTGTTGTTCATAAGGTTTTCACTGGCCAAATCTTTGAGAAATGGATGGCCCCTTCCTTCTTCCAAGTCTGTCTTAGTCTGGAAGCTCCACTGAAACCTGTCTACCACGGGTAACCCTGCTGGCATTTGTAATACTGGTGGCATAGCCTCCAGCCTCACAGCAACATGCAAGCCTCCACAGTACAACAAACTGATAGACAAGTGGTGGGTATATGCTGACTGAGGCTATGAAATCACAGTAAGAAATATAAGGAAAATAAGATTATTGAGGCTACCAGGGCTGAGAAATGTATATCCAAATATGTCAAATAGTACTCTACAGAATTCTATCTTTTTAATACTTAGTTTTATTTTTGATGAAAATATACACAGCAAAACCCATTTCTATTTGTTTCCTGACATAATGATCAGGGACACAGGATACATTCCTCACACTGTGTCAACACTCTCATTATTTCTCTTCTAATGGTTTCACCTCTATTTACTTAAACTCCCTACCCCTCAACCTTCTCATTTAAGCTTCAAAACAGCTACCAACCCTTTGGTCTTATACAAGTTTTTTTTTTTTTTTTTAATGTAAGACTCAAGGGTGACAATCTTTGTGCTTTCAGCTAAACTGTTACGTAAAGTTGACTTTGGGGTGTGTAGTTTTAATTCAAGGTCATGTCCAGTAAGTCAGGATTCTTTAAGAATGTTATGTTCTGAGAGGCGGGGCAAGATGGCGGACTAGGCAGAAGGATTGCACAGAC